CTTGCTAAGAAAGTTAGCCAAATGGAGGCTATTGTTTATTTAAAATTCATCCAAAATTTTCGCTCGAACGCGATTAGTCTAAACGCAACTAAACGCGTGACGCGCATAAATAGTCTAAGTATGCCCCAGCTAAAACTGGGGAATATCCGAGTGATATTCAGGCAGTCCTTGTGTTTCATTTGGAAAATTGGTTCTGAAGAGATATAAACATTTACAACTCAAACTTTAGAAGCGACAACCACGATTCTCTTCTTTAAATGGATTTAATCTTAGATCTGAGAGGTTACTATACCATCAGGTTGATGATTGCCGGCCTTCATCACTAACTGTCGTTTTGTGTGACATTGTGTCGACATTACGATGGTCCTTGATATACTGGTATTTTGTTATATTATTGTTATGAATCCCCTCATTCTGATTGGCTAATAAATGAGAGCGATGTCTGATCGTGGCGACTCAGCGCCGTGACCTAGAGGTAAAACATAATTTATAAACGAAACTAGGATCTTTATCTTTCAATTCAAGGTTCACATAATTCTGTGACATTCATCTTGACGGACATATCATCACGAAGCTCATGAACTGAACGCCAAGTACAACCTCGTTCTCAGGACTAAGCTGGCATGACTGACAAATACACCCGGAGGGGGGAGGGTGGTACTCTGTTATATGCACTATATAGGTATGTGCGGCCCCAAAGGGTATGGTGTTTAGCCGTTTTGGTAATAAATAGGGTATCGATTTTGGCCATCTTGGTCATAAATAGGGTATGGTTTTTGGGCTCTAGTCTTCAATTGGGTACGGTTTTTGAAAGCTTCAAATTCAAAGCTTCGACCGTCCTCGAAGAGGCGTAGCTACTAATGTTATCACCTTTGTAAGTAAGTCCGTCCGTATCCCTAATCGAAACCCATCCGTGTAACCAAATTCTTCGAATAGTTTTCGTAGCCAATCAAATTGCGTTCATACACGCATAATCCTCGGATAGTGTTCGTGGCCAATCAGAGCATCGACGGTCCCTGTCATAAGTCGATGGGTCGTTACGAAAGGCTACCAAAGCGATATCGATGATCGCTATCGATGATCTTTCGTGTTTGGAGTCTAACAAGTACTCCCAAATTAAATTCAAGGCTAGTTGGTATACAACAAGGGTGGGTGTATAATTCGATCTATCGACCACTTTGACGGTGGCTTTTAACCGAAACTTTCACGCTTGAGAGCGAATAGTTCTCGGTAGTTGGGGACGAACGAAAAAAAAGAGGCGAGCGTTTCAAATTTCCATACTGTCTTATTTTCTTTTATAATTACATTTCTTTATGGCTTGAGCATTTTCATTTTCCAGTACCTATGTAAACGCAAACCATCCACTAGCTAGTTAGCTCGAAGGAGAAAATAAAGAAGCTCGAAGGGAAAAAAAAAAAAGAGCCCCGCAACAGGATTCAAACCGCCGGCCTCAACCCGCTAAGTCCTGATCCTCTGACATAAACCTTACCACTTTGCCAACGTGACACTTATGAATTATTCATAAAGTAAAACATCTACACAGTAAACACCAGCGTATAAACCGCATTCGAGTTTGGCAACTTACATTTCGGAAAAAAAAAATTTGGACAGAAATTAAAATAAATCAAACGTGGATTTGTAGATTTGCTTTATGGTGGTCATTCATGCA